TCTTTTTACTCTTCAAATACATCGAATTTTATCCACTGTCAGACGTTCGGCCACACGAGTAATCTTATTTTTCCTACAAACAACTGACAGAAAAAAAACGAAACTAAACCTTTATAATATTTGTCTATGTAACTAAGAAAACATTATTAGTTTAAACAGCTAATCATCAAGAGGTAAATAAATCCATCAGTTAAATCAGAAGAGTTTCACACTAACCTAACCTCACCATGATTTAGTGAAGGTATATATCTCTATCGTCAATCTGATGTGAGACAAGTGAAGCAAGTGAGAGATTCCTGAACTGTGTGTGAGGGAGATTTTGCTGGCGGATGAGACATCACACACCAGCAGCTCCCTCGACCACCATCAAAGACCGAGTCAATTTTCCCCCCCTGCAGAGAGGTACAAGCGTTACAGGGTTCCCACACTTGCACTCTCCTATACGATAACTTTTCCTCTGGGGTACATAAAGGTACAGTCCCCTTCACTAGTGCATTTACAGGGGCTGGTCATATGAACATTCCACAAATAATTACATTGAGATAGTTTTTTAAATATTGTTTTACATAGATTCCATATTATCTAATATACTATAGGAATAGCCGTGTGTCTGTTTGTCTGTTCTGGGCAGCCGAAACGGCACAATCGTTTTTCATCAAACTTGGTGGAAAAATCGCAAACAATTCATAGAGTGGAACAAACCTGGTCCCATGGCGATGGTTTCTTTAGGAAGGCATTAATTAACCATTTTATTTACGCTGGAAAACGATGCAAGTCTACGGACTTGGCGCACCCTAATTAACCATACAAGTCTACGGACTTTGCGCACCCTCATTCGCTGTACGCTAGCCAAGCACGAGCGTTCAAACTTTCACCGGGCACGAAGGGCCGGCGATCACTTGTGTTTACTATTGTGAGTTTCCTTCTGTTGAATGTAAACAAAAGCAGCGCTGCCACACTGCACAAAACATGACGAGCCTCTGTAAACACACTAGTGAAGGGGACTGTACCTAGGCTATATGAGGAACCCCTGTAAACGCACCAGTGAAGGGGACTGTACCTAGGCTATATGACGAGCCCCTGTAAACGCACTAGTGAAGGGGACTGTACCTAGGCTATATGACGAGCCCCTGTAAACGCACTAGTGAAGGGGACTGCACCTAGGTTATATGACAAGCCCCTATAAACGCACTAGTGAAAGGGACTTTACCTAGGCTATATGACGAGCCCCTGTAAATGCACTATTGAAGGGGAAGGTATATAACAAAGAGAGTATAACTACACCAACACAGATATAACACACCCATAAAGAGATCCCATTATACCAGGACTTAATACCAATGGTTTTAGATTCTCTGAACACCAATTAGGGAGACAAGATTAATGTACTGTGTCTTAATGAATCAGAGAGATACGGTTTCTCACACCATCTTACGATTATTTTTTCACCTTAAATCCTCTTTATCAAGAAGATGAACCTAATTAGAAAACATCAGGATGTAATTTCGACACTACAGAATTACCTGCCATCATGGTATTGTATTGTGGTAAATGTCTCTCTCTCTCTCTCTCTCTCTCTCTCTCTCTCTCTCTCTCTCTCTCTCTCTCTCTCTCCTTCCTCCCCCTCTCTTTCCTCTTTGACGATTATTCTTTGGGGAAATTTTTTAACGCAGGACATTTCACGACTCTGGGACTCAGGTCGACCATAGCACATCACGAAGTAAGGTTGGTAGTCCCGAGGCAACACTACGTTTCGTCACAGAAACATTGGATAAAGTGGACATCAAATGTGTGTGGTTGTGAGTTTTTCTTGGTTGTTTTTCCTACTATAGCCGGTGGTAGGGTGCTTGAGGGTGAGGGGGGAGTGAGGAGGTAAGGGAATGAGAGGGGGAGAGGGGGATGCTGTGGTGGAGGATGAGGAGATGAGAGGAGGAGAGGGTGTGACGTCATACATACATTATCCAGTGACGTCACAATTACAAATATCCAGTGACGTCACAATTACAAATACCCAGTGACGTCATAATTCCAAATACCCATCAAATTTATGAATACAATTTCCAGTTAAAATACAACACAATACAACTACCCAACTCTGCCAAAATACATCATCAAATCTATTACTCGTCACAAACTCACTCCCAAACACACTCATCGTCTCTAATGAATGTTTCTACCGTAAAATCCCAAACGAGTCAACCAAAATGAACTTCCTGCATGATTGGCCGGAGCTCCGATTGTCATTCCATTATTTCGTCTTTTTTTTTGGTAATAACATTTTAGTGGAATTTTAGTCATGGTGAATTGTGTCATTAATTTAGGTTTTTTAGAGAATGATTACAAGAGTTCTGTATTTTCTGTAACTTTAATCAAGCAAAATGGAAATAGAATGAAATAATTGTGTATTTATTATTTTTTTTTTTATTTGAAAATGGAAAAAAATGTACAGATGTTTATTTTGTTATAAGTTTTAAAAATATAAATAAATATACGAGGATTCCTGTTTGTAATTCCTTTATTATTTACTTTTAATAAATAAAATATCACAAATATTTTTTTTAAGAGATAAATAATAATATATGGAAT